ACATATGAAGTATTGTTTAAAAATAAAATTGAAGCAGAATCTAATCAAGTCTCCAAGTGTAACTTTCAGTTTACAGAAATTACAGAGAACAAAGGAACGTGTTAAATTACACCATGAGAATAACGACCAACAAATCCAAATGTGGAAAATTCTACAAGACTAATGACCCATTCAACAAATAAATGATGTACACGGAATATGAGAGGGAGCTTCAACTAGAGATTAAAAGAGATTTAAGATCAAAAGGAAAAAAGCTGTAAACAAAAAAGACACATCTACCTAATGAAATGTGGGACCTTATTTGGATCATGATTCAAACAAATCAACCATAAAAAGGCATTTTGAACGTCATGGAAAAGTGAACATAGAGTGGTAGACTGGAAGTCAGAGAAAAGTGGCCATAGACTGGTAAACCGGAGAAAGGGAAAGGTGGTCATAGACTGGTAGATGGGAAGTCAGGGAAAAGGGGACATAGTCTGGTAGACCAGAAGGCATGCATTATTGTTAATTTTGTTGAGCGTGATAATGATACTCTAGTTAGATTTAAGTCTTTAACTGGATAAAATGATATGATGTCTTAGATTTCCTTTAACATATACCAGCCAAAAAGCACAAAACTTCTACAGAGAGAATGATCACATTTTATTGGGACATTAAAGAAAACCTAAATAAATGGAAAGATACATACACCACGTTTATGGATTGGAACTCTAAATATTGTTAAGAGGACAATTTTCTCCAAATTGACCTATAGATTAACCCAATCTAAATCTTAATAGGTGTTTTGCTTTATTAGAATCTGATGAGCTGATTTTGAAATTTACATGGAAATGCAAAGGACCAAGAATAACAAGTCACATCAAAGAAGAAAAACAAGATAAGAAGTCTTACTTGATCAAATATCAAGACTTACTACAGGGCCAGCCCCAGTGGCCTAGTGGTTAAGTTCAGTGCGTTCTGCTTTGGCAGCCAGGGTTCAGTTCCCAGGCGCGGACCTACACTGCCCTGTTAGCAGCCATGCTGTGCTGCCAGCCCACATACTAGAAAATGGAGGAAGATTGGCACAAGTGTTAGCTCAAGGTAAACCTTCCTCACCCTGCCAAAAAAAAAAGGCTTACTACAAATCTATAGCAATTAAGACAGTGTGGTATTGGCTGAGAGGGAGACAGTCCAGATAAAGACTATCATAAACAGATACTGGATTATAACAAAGGTGGCACCCCACAGCACTGAGGAAACAATGCATTTTTGATAAGTACTATTATGGCAATTTGGAAAATGAAGCTGGACCCTTCCTTTCACACAATGAATAAAAACTAATTTTAGATAGATTACAGATCTAAATGTAAAAGACAAAAAAACTAAATATATATTTTAAATAATATACTTTAAACATATTTAATATAAGTATTTGATAAATACTTAAATTATTTAATTTATATTTATTATATTTAATTTATATTAGATTTATTATATTTAATATATTTTAAATTTTTAATAAATTTAAATATTAAATATATTTAAATAATATTAAAATAATACAAAAGAACACGTTTATGATCTTGGGGTAAAGGAAGACACTTTAAAGAAACTTCAAAATGCACTAAGAATAAAGGAAAATGTTGATGAATTTAACCACATGAAAATAGCTCTGGTCACCAAAAGAACACCAAAAGGAACGCTAAAACACAAGCCACAGTATGAAAGAATTTACCATACTTAATTGACAAAGGTTTGAAATCAAGAATATACAAAGAATTTCTAGAAATCAGTAAGAAAAAAACAGTTAATCTCTCTTTCCCCTACCCTCCAACGAAAGACTTAAACAGGCACTTCACAAAAAAGAAATACGGATGTTCAACAAACACACGAAAAGGTGTTCAAACTCATAAATAAGGAAGATGTAAATTAAGATCACAATGCAATAGCACTACTACCACAGTAGCAGATTGGCTAAAACTTTAAAATCTGACAAGACCAACTGGGAAATAAAAAGCAGGGCAAAGACAGAGTGCAAACGGATGCAACTGCTCTGGAAAACTGGCAGTGGTCACAAAAGCAGAGGACAGCACACCCCGTCACACAGCAATCCTCCCCAGATAGACGCCCTACGGAAACGCAGACCAAGGTACATACACAACATCGTTCACGGCAAAATTGTTCACAATACCCAGAGCACCTGACTACTCTAACAGCAAATAGATAAATGTCAGTATATTCAAACAACAGAATACTGTTAGAAAAGGAACAAACTCAAAACTGTATGCAAAACCACATAGCAACACACCCTATATGACTTCATATATTTCAAGTTCAGAAACAACGAAAATAAATCACATTATTTGGAGGTAGATACTGAGATGTTAAAACTAGAAAGAAAATCAAAGATGTGATTAACATAAAAATCAGGCTGGTGGGTACGTCTTGGTAGGGAGGAAGTGGTGATGAGGAATGGTGGGGAGGACAGACTTCTGGGATGACTTGAGCAATGGCTACATGGGCATGTGCTTCATAAAAATTCCTTAGACTTTACATGCATGTTTTATTCAATTATCTGTATGTGTTATATTTCACAATAAAAGAAGTTTTAAAGAAAAGTGAAAAAAAGAGAAATTTAAGTAGAGAAACCATTGATAATCTCGATAGATGTAAAAGAAGCATTATATAAAATTCAGACCTCACTGATGATTTTTAAAAACCGTTGGTAAGTTTATTCTCTAAAGTAAATGATCTGTACTCTTCAAAAATGTCAACAATATCATGAGAGGCAAAGAAAGGCTGAGAACTGTTAGGGATTAAAGGAGACTAAAGAAACACCAAAATTAAACGCAATATATGATGCTGGATTGGATTCTAGACCCAAAAAACAAACAAAAACACCAATAAAAAAGACACTATTAGGCTAACTGGCAAAAATTTGATTAAACTCTATATCTTAGACAACAGCACTATATCAACGTTAAATCCCCTGATTTTGATAACTGTACTTGATTACATAAGTGAATGGTGAACATCCTTCTTAGAAAAATGCACCCCTTATCCTTGGGAGATACGTTCCAAGACCTCCAGTGGATGCCTGAACCCATGCAAAGCCACACTGTGGAGAAGGAGCGACTACCGCGTTTAGGAAAAGCAACATGACGTCTACAACTTATTCTCAGGTGGTTCCGCGGAAAAACATAAAACGACAGAATGATACATGTGGCAAAATGTTTAGGTAGCTACTAAAAATATACAACAAGATAGGAAAGGAAGAAATAAAGCTATCATTTTTCACAGACAACATCATCGTAGTATGTAGAAAACCCAACAAATCCACAGGAAAGTTATTAAAATTAATGAGTGAACTTAGTATATAGACACACACAGAAAATTTAAGAAAATCTTAAAAAATGGAAGGATTAGAAAACCAAATATTGTAAAGATGTTAATTCTTTACAAATTGACTTACAGATACAATGCAATTCTTATGAAAATCCCAGCAGGTTTTTTTTTCTACAAATTGACGAACTGGCGCTCAAACGCATTTGGAAACGCAAAGGGCCAAGAACGGCCAGGACAATCTTGAAGAGCAGAGTGGGAGCACTTATCCTACCTGATACCAAGACTGGGATGACAACGCTGCAGCAATGAAGATAGCGCGGTCTTGGTGCAACGACAGATAAACAGACCAGTGGAGCAGACTACAAAGTTCAGAAATGGACACTCGATTTAAGACGAAGGTGGCAATGCAGAGCACAGGTAAAAAAGAGTATTTTCAATCAATGGCACTGGGTCAGTTGGGTATCATATGGACGGAAATGAAACCTGACTTCTACCTCACGTCACACACAAACAAAAAAAGCAATTCCAGATGCATCATAGATCCAAACATGAAAGGTAAAACAATAAAACTTCAAGAAGACAATATAAGAAAATAGCTTGGCAGCCTTGGGGGAGGCAAACGTTTCTTATACATGACATGAAAAGGACTAATCATAAAAGAAAAAGTTGCTAACTCGTGAGCTACATTTAAATTAAGAACCGCTCATCATAAGACTGCTCCGAATACTGTCATTTCCCCATCTGTAAAATTGGGATAATAACTGGCCTCACTCAGTAGCAATTGCTGTGAATCCTTCTATGATTGAACAGATGCAAAAGCACAGAATATAATTTTTTTTAAGTAGGAGTAAATGGAAAGTAAGGAAAGAGACTCAGTGAGTATCATCTAGTCTTCACAGAAGAACAATGTACTTACGGGAAGATACCAGGGAAGGCCGCAGGTAGAGAAGTCCAGAGGACTGTTCAGAATGAGAGACAGGTGAGGGTTTCTAAGAGGCAGGAAAGGGTGTGTCTAAGGGGCGAGAAGGAAGATACAGAAGACAGAGTGCATGTCTGACGGAGGAAGGGAGACAAGAAGAGAGACATCTCCCCCTCTGAGACAGGACCGAAGAATGCTTTCAGATTCAGGTTTAGGTGGATCATAAATCGAAAGAGATGCCTTAGTTTCTGCTTTCTTCATGAAACAATAGTCAAGGTCATCTGCTGAAAGTAAGAGGCATAGTGTGAACCTGGGGTAGAATCCTGCCAGCACCATAAGGAGTGACAGAACATGGCAGGACAAGCGGCCCAAAAGGCCCAAAGCATGGTGCAGGCAAAAAGCAAAACAGGCGAGCAATGCTCCAACGGATGCTTCTCAATTACATGACGCATTTTACTTTTCTGAGTACCGTATATATGAAAGAAACCCAGTTCACCCTGATCCTAATTCAACACCATTAAATTTCATCACCATTTCCTTCCTGGCCACCAGGTGGTCCATAAAGCAGTAACAAGAATAATGGAAAAGCCTAACAAAATGGTGCCATTCAGACAGAATCCCAGCATCCTGGAGACAGCCCACATTCCACCCCATCCATGGGTCCCCTCAAAGCTGTCACAGAGAAGTGGCCGCCAGTGTCAGCTTAAACCAGACAGAACAGAGGGCTATAAATGTGCAAAGGGCTGGTTGAGCTTACCGGTTGAAGATGTTATCACTGAAAGCATACTTTTCCAGGAGAGTGAGTGGAGGCAGGTTATCCTGGCCTGGAATGTCCAAGAAGGCTGTTACCCTCATGCTGTCACAATGTGGACCGTAGTCTTCAAATCCATCTAAAGGGGAAGAGGGGAAGAACCACACTCATAAGTGTCCATCAACTGTGACAAGTCACACTTGGGCAAAGACATGGTCTTATAGCATGTTTTCTTCTTTCCCAGCCCTTTCGAACTGAAGCCTCTGACTATTGCAAATTTGACAATTCATCTATTGGTTTACAATCCAAGACAAGAGTGATAAGACCAGAGTCATAAAGAAAAGCTAAATGCCCTTTTTTTGGTGCTTCTGATGCATAAGCCACCTTAACCACCATGTATAGGAAGCCCTCCCCTATCAGGGAACTCAGAAACAAGGGATCAAAGAAGCTCATCCTTATGAAAAATGGCCATGGAGCTTTACGCAAACAGGTTTAAAATGGTCAAAAGAAAAACACGTAAGTTTCACCCTATAAGCGAGAATCTGACAGAAAGTCCTCCCCATATCTTGTCTTGTCCTAAATGTACTCATCTACAGCTTTATCCACTCTATGACATCAATTCCTATCAACCCACAGCCCTGGCCTGGCAACACCCAACCGACCCCTCCACATGGATGTCCAACAGGTTCCTCCAACTCACACTGGCCAAAAGTGAGTCAGCTGTCAAAGTAACTCTTCCTCCTTAAGTCTGCTCTTCTCTGCATCCCAAACTGAGGGCAGGCAGCCCCCTCCCTCTAAAGTATTGCGGTGACTGAACTCATGGGTCCTGGAGCCAAATATCCCTGGAATGGGATGAATCCCCCAGTTACTACTTACTAGCTGTGTGACCAGAGTAAGTGACTTAACCTGTCTACACTTCCATGTTCTCACATGTAGGGTGGGTATAAAACCACCCTACCCTGTGAGGATGTTCGAACAAATGAGTTCATGCTTGTCAGGACCTGCAGGACTTGGGCCCTTGTGGTCTGGCCAAGCTTGACCCTGGCCACCATCCTTTACGCACCTACACTTCAGGGCTGCAAATGCCTCCCTACTATCCCTTGCACTGAAATAGCTGGGCGAGAAGCACTGGTGCAAAAAAGCAGAGGGTTCCCACCTGGCAGACAGTCAGGTTAATTTAGGCACTAATTGATTAGAACTTTAAATAAGACATGACAAGTTTGTGTCTAAGTGCTTACTTTTCTTTGAAGCTCTAACCACATTTTTTCTCAACTAATTCTTTTAAGCTAGTAATTAGAGCTTATTAAAAATTTACACTGTCTAACAGTTACTCAGAATTTTAATAAAGAATTATACATTTGTAGGAAAAATATGTGACACAATCAAATATGTCATTTCTCTGCAGGATCCCTGCCAGGGATGAATGGGTCCACGTTGGGTCACAGCCAAGGCCCCAAACACAGGCCCTTTGTAGAAGCCATTCTCAGTGCATTTCAGGGCCCAGGGGGAACCTGCAGCCTCCACCCCACAGATGTTTAGAGCGCCATGGACCCAGTCTGGAGTGGACTTTTGACACTGTCTAAAGCAGTGGTTTCTAAACTTGTGGGGTCGCAGATAGCTTTGGAACCTGTTGATGTCCACAGACATACACGCTCAAAACTTTTCATACAGGATCAGGGGTTTCAAAAGATCCTCTGAGACCCTTCCGTGTACTTCACAGGTTAAGAACTGCAGTTTTAAAGTAATTGAAAATACGCAGGCACTCTTCAAAATACTCTGCTTATCAGAGAACTAAGGAACTTAGCAATTAGTTCCACAAAAGCATAATTGTTATTGGAGAATATTAATGACTCCACTACACTAACTATTTAAAACAACACTAACTACATACAAGGAAATAAAAGCCATAGCCAGAAAACACTGGATAATCACTAATCCTTATTGGTTACTTCCTACAAGCCAGGAACCCTGCTCAGAGCGCTCTGTACAGCGCAGCTCCTCAAATCCTGGCAACAACCATATCATTCCCCTGTTTCTGTTAAGGGAACTGAAGCTTAGACAGGTTAAGGAAGTTACCAAAGGTCACACAGCTAGTGAATGGCAGAGTCAGAATGTGAATTCCAACAGTCAGACTCTAGACTGGCACTATGCTACAGTGCCCGAGAGGAAACCTAAATTTAATTTTCAAAGAATCCCCTCCCACCCCCAATCTGGGCGTCAGGCACAGAGGTCCCTTAGTTCTTCAAATGAGCCCAAGTCCTCGTCTCAATGGTTTTGCACATGCTGTTCCCACGGCCTGGGACACTCCCACTTCTTAAACCCCTACCCCTGCCCCTGTCCCAGCTTGGTTCTCAGTGTCCAAAGAGCCCTCCCCTGACCCTTGGGAGAAGGCCAGTCTCTGGTTACGGCCTCTCCTGGAGCTGTGGCTCTCCTGCCCTAACACTCCCCACAAAGGTGCTGGCAGCGGGTTTTGAGACTGCTCGTGTCTGTCTCTCAGCCGCTCTGCCAGCTCCACGAAAGGGCTATAACTGCAGCACCCAGGACAGCACCTGGTAAGTAGCAGATGCTCAATAAAAAGTAGTGAAATGAAGGAACAATACCACCAAAATATACTTAAATGAATGCAAACAAATATTGGAAAAAATGGATGTTATAATACAGAATCATAAAGAAGCAAGAAAGAACCTTAGAACATGCCTTGATAAACTCCCTCATTTTATAGATAAATAGTAAACAGACGTGCCCCCAAAGCCAGTGGCAGACCTGGGTTTCTTACAACCCAAACGTTCTCCATTCCAGCCCAGTGTTCTTTCAAGGGATGCACAGAAAAATCAACTAAGACAAAGGCCGAAGGAACAGCGAAGGCAAAGGGAAAGGCCATGGTCTCCGAGGCAAGTGAAGGAAGCTGAAAGAGACTTCTACTTCCCGCCAAGAAGATAAAAGACCCTCATGGTTTACACAACTAGAACACCAGAAAAAAATAATGAAACAGCAGTTTTCAGGGACTAGACAATAGGCCGCACAGGACTAGGATCCCTCAGAGAAGGGACACAGACAAGGAGAACCCTGAGATGGCGGCTGCTGACCACCCGGAGGGCTTCCAGCCCCAGAAAAGGAAGCGTGAGGAGGCCAAAGGGGCGACTTTGCAGGAGAGGGAGCCACAAAGGTCAGAAGATCCCCCTGGAAGCTGCAGCTGAGTTTGCACACGTGCGAGAAATCTGCAGAGGCTGGGAGGAGCTGGCAGAGATCATTCCGGCTCACACGCAGTGAGGAGCTGCCTGTTCCCACCAGCAGCGGAGAGAGACCGCAATGCAGGCGCTGCCTTAGTAGGAGGGTTAAATCAGTCTCAACGAAAACCTTCCCAGCCCCGCCCAAGCAGGGCTTGAAATCCAGCCGCAACGGAGTCCAGCCCAATCGAAGGACGTCCTAACAAAATCCAACACTGCTGGATTTATACGATTTATACAGTAAAATCTAACAACTGACAACCCAAAATTCTTAATGTCTGGCACCCAAATATTATCAAGAATGAAGGGAAGCAAATAGTATGAGCATAACCAGGTAAAATGATTAAACATAAGAAGTTCCCAAAATGCCAGAGGTGATGGAATTAAGAGAAAATGATCTTTAAACAGCAATTAGAAGAATGCTCCATATATTCCAGGAAAACAATGATGGTGAGAGAACTAGAAATATAAAACAAGACCCAAATGTAAATTCAAGAGATGAAAAACACAATAAATGAATCAAAAGATAAACTGAAAGAAATTAACAGATTAGACAATTGAAAAAAAATCAGAGAACTCGAAGATATAATAATAGAAACTATCCAAAAGGAAGCACAGAGAGAAAAAAGCGGAAAAAATAAAAGAACAAAGCATCAGTTACCTGCAGACAATATTACGCACCATAACATATGTGTAATTGGAGTCCCAGAAGCAAAGTAGAGATGGAGTTGGGGCTGGCCCAGTAGCACAGTAGTTAAGTTCACGCACTCCACTTTGGTGGCCCAGGGTTCGCAGGTTTGGATCCTGGGCGTGGACCTAGCAGGCCACACTGTGAATACACATAACAGAATTCCACATAACAGAGAAGACTGGCACAGATGTTAGCTCAGTGACAATCTTCCTTAAGCAAAAAGAGGAAGAATGGCAACAGATGTTAGTTCAGGGCCAATCTTTCTCACAAAAAAAAAAAAAAAAGAAAGAAAAAGAAGAAGAGATGAAGAAAACAGAAAATTTTAGAAAAATAACGGCTGAAAAAAAAATTTTTTTTAAAGATTTTACTTTTTTTCCTTTTTCTCCCCAAAGCCCCCCGGTACATATTTGTATATTTTTTCAGTTGTGCATCCCTCTAGTTGTGGCATGTGGGATGCCACCTCAGCATGGCCTGATGAGCGGTGCCATGTCCTCGCCCAGGATTCGAACCGATGAAACCCTGGGCCACCAAAGTGGAGCACGTGAACTTAACCACTCAGCCACAGGGCTGGCCCCTGAAAATTTTTTTAATTTGATAAAATTATAAGCCGCCAGATTCAAGAAACTCTACAAACCCCAAGCAGAATATACATAATGAAATATCACACTAAGGGGCATCACAATCAATCACTCAAAATCAGTATAAGGAAAGCAGTCAGAGGAAAAAAAGAAACATTACATTAAAAAACAAAGAAAGTCCAGCAGTAGACTTCATGTCAAAAACCATTCAATGAAGAAGATGGAACGATATCTTTAGAGCACTGAAAGGAAGAAAAGAAACATTAACCAAGAATTTGTTACTCAGAGAAATATCTTTCAAAATTTAAGGAGAAATACAGACTTTTTCAAACAAACAAAAGCTGAAAGGATGCATTGCCCGTAAACACGAACTATGAGAAATGTTAAAGGAAGCTTCTCAAACAGAAGGAAAACAATACCAGATGGAAATCTGAAGCTACTCAAAAGAAGAGGGTCAGGAATGGCAAATATGTGGGCAAATATAAACAAGCATTTCTTTCTCATTTTACAATATCTCTTTAAAAAATACCTACTACTAAAGCAGAAATAAGGACAATGCATTATCGATTTACAGTGCATCCAGAAGCAAAGCAGCAGTACGGCAAGAGAGCAAAGTAAAAGACACACGGCTTAGACAGGAAAG